AAACACGACACTAAAGACTCATGGCAATATTGATATTGACCTCAGACACAGATAATAATAGCAACCTCGCAGGCTTGGTCGCTATCACTTTCTGTGTCTTCGGTCAATATCAATTGCCATGAGTGTACAAATTAATACAGTTGCTAAGTGTGAATAATGTAAAAGAATTATGTAATTTAGGGAAGTATATCTATAAAGCCCTCGCGCTTAGAAATGATTTAATCATATAAATAGTGTCCCATTTGCTGATTTGTGACTATATATGTAACTGCTATATTACATGTTCTTTGCATTAATCTCATGTCATTCTCCATATTAATTGTGAATACGAGTTTGTATGTTCATATTAACTGTAAAGATTGTTAATACGAGTTTGTATGTTCATATGTGCATGTTTCATAAGGATTTACAACGTATGTATTTTGCAAATAAGAAATTGAAAAAAAATGAGTACTTATAATCACATATCGACCTACACTAAATTCTATAGTTGTAAAATACAAATCTTAATTTTATTTATTGATTCCATGTGTTTTGATTGGACGAGAACAATTTCAAGAAAAATTTTACACATCGATGAATTTTTCAATCAGAACTACTTTCTTGACCAAGCTTCTATGCTGTAAAAACAAGAAAACAGATTCTTCTAGATAGCAAGACATAGTTGGGCCAACGTTGACCCAATTTTTTTCCCAACGTTGGCCCACTGTTGGTAACCTTACATTGGCCCACGGTAATTTTGCTCATCGGCCCAACGTTGACTCCATACATGTCCAAGAACAAATTTGATGTCGATATCGATCGTGATCTTCACTATTAATTGGAAATATCTGGTGCAATATTTGAGACTCTCTATTATGTCGATGTCGTCGATATCGACAATATCATGACGATATCGTATCGATATCGATCCTATTCGCACAATTTATTTTCACAGTGAGGTATAACATAATTTTACAAAGTCACAAGTGAAGTCAAAATTGATTCATAATTGGCATGAATATTAAAATAAATTATGATTAAGAACGTATTAGGGTTGTTATTGTTTTAGATTAGATTTAGAGTAAGATGTTGAGTAAGGGTGACAATTCTTAATAATGTTTTAACAATGAGGATTCGATATCGATAGGATATCGTCGATATCGACGATATTGACAGTAAGGTAAACTTATTAAACACAGAAGTGATCTAAAAATAAAGTTTTTGTATTAGGGTGAAGGTTGGTAAAGTAATATCTTTTAATAATCATGATTCGATATCGATACAATATCATCGATATCGACGATATCGATGGCAGGTAAAATCTTCGTAAAAGTAAAGTAATTAAACATAAACACATTCAAAGTAACAGGGAGTGTATTAACCAAGGGCTGAGCAAACATGATTCGATATCAAAGCGATATCGTCGATATCGACGATATCGACCCTTCAGGGAAAGATTTATAAAGAAAGTTTTAAGAAACAGTTGTTAAAACACAATGCTAAAGATTGACAACACAATTTTTGGAACAACCATGATTCGATATCGGCACGATATCGAGGATATTGACAGTAAGGAAATAGTCTTAAAACAGGAAGTATTGTAATAAACACACGAAAATAGAGAAATATAATAGAAAACTAAAAAAAAAAGTAATGTGTCGATATCGTAACTACGTCGTGTCTTGGACATAACTCCAACGTTGGTCCAACATGTTGGCATATTGTTGGGCCAACGTAGGTATAATTGTATGACAACTAACAGCCAACCTTAATAACTGGTTGGTTAGGTTGGCCCAACGTTGGCCCTTTGTTGAAATGTCAGATAGCATATTGTTGGGCCAATGTAGTTTTTACATAGAAACATTTGCAATTATTTAACTGATTCTTTACATAAACCTATTTTATGACTGTTTAAAATAATTAATACACAATTCAATCTGCATTCATAATGCATACATGGACATGTTCAATGAAAACATTACTACTGTGATAATATTTTATATACATAAATTCAATCATAGTTTACAAAATAAATTTTAAAATAGACAACAGAGGAAAATTATGAAAAATTATCAATTAAAAGTTCTTAATCAGGACTCACTTCCTTTATTATAGTCCTTTTGTTGTATTCCCGCTCTTTTTCTGTCCCTTCGTCGCCTCCCGTTTTCTTCATCTTGATCTTTGTCATACGGACTCATACTTTATACACTTCTTTATGCATGGTATTCTATTTCATTGTTATTTACATGTACCGCCACAACATTTGTTTTCCTTGCAGTCTCTGGCTGAATTTTTTGTTATAATCGTGTCTGTAATAGACAGTTAAGAATTAGATAGATAGAAACAACTTAAAAGATGTTATTTAACCTTAACTTACAGTGCTTGTATGCAAAAACATGACAAGAATGAATTCCGAATCAATTTTAACAGTTAACCTGAATAAATGAGAATAAATATACTTACATTGCTTCTAAATGCAGCTGTATAGTAAGTGTATAATCCACAAATTTAAATTTCACTTCTTCTTGCTTGCCCTGCATTATCACCATCTGTGAGCAATTGAATCTGACAGCTCACTACACAGTTTGGTCACGTGATAGCGAACGCCTAACTTTTATTTCAATTTAATTATAAAGCTGTCTCATTTTGATTTATGTGTATGTAGGCTTCATTCACATCCTGTTCCTGAGAACGTATTCAGTCTTCTCTAAATTCTCATGAATGCAACGCAAATGAAAAAAATCTTAATTTTAAGGGTTTTATTTCAAATAAATAATCATGCATGTGCACAATTCAAAAAATATGATAAAACACTCATTGGTGCTGTGATCACTTAAGTTAAAATTTAAAATGTTGAATATATCAGATCTAAACAAAAACAGTCATCCAATTAAAAGCATGGACATAGAATGTCAGCTCAGCAGCTAAAATTGACACCATCTTTAGTTGGCAGTATAATAATTGGGCCAGCGTTGGCCCAATATAAATATCCCATCTCTGAAACACCTAAACAAAAGAACACTTGTGCTAACATCGAGCCAACATACTACAATGTACTACCAAATTGATAAGACATTTTTTGAGGGTGTATTACAAACATTGGGCCAATATACTACTACCCATTTGATAAGACACTTTCTTTAAGGGTGTATAACAAACATTGGGCCAACGTTGGGCCAACATACTACTACCAGTTTGATAAGACACTTTATTAAGGATGTATAACAAACATTTGGCCAACGTTAGGCCAACATACTACTATCAACTTGATAAGACGCTTTCTTTATGGGTGTATAACAAACATCGGGCCAATGTTGGGCCAACATACTACTACCAACTTTAAAACACACTTTCTTTAAAGGTGTATTACAAACATCGGGCCAACGTTGGGCCAACATACTACTACCAACTTTAAAAGACACTTTCTTTAAGAATGTATTACAAACAGTGGGCCAACGTTGGGCCACCATCAACATCCCGCCTTCCTTGGGAAGTAAAGTAAATGGAAGTTGCTAACATTGGACCAACGTTGGGCCAACATAGGAATTCTGTCATGGTCGAGGAGGTTGGCATGGTGACATTGGTCCAACGTTGGCCCAACGTTGTTCCCCCAATGCCAACCATACAACCTTTTGCCTATGTTGGCCCAACATAGTCTTGCTATCTGGGTAATTACAAGAAACTTGAAATTAAAAAAATCAAAACAGGAGATAAACACTACTGACAGACGGGAATATTATGTTTATGTCACTGTCGGATCACGAGTGTGAATATAAAATATCGCTGATAATGCCATCATTTTCTCGACGTTCCATATCAGCTCAGTTGGTATCGTTGTGATAGGGAAAAGAAACGTACCTCAGACTCTTGCCTCATCAGCATCAAATTCATATATTTACATCCTACAGATCCCATATTCTCCCTAAATCTTTGAACGATCCAGAGCAAATCGAGGATGTCGTCGGTCTGCAACTTTCGCTATGACGTTGTCGTTAATATCAACATTGACATGGTCAAGGACGAATTATTCTGTAGAATACGCGTTTTTACAATATTTGTTGACTTAAACAACATTCAATGAGTTTTTATAAGTTTATTTATTGATTGAGTTGACAATTTAAGTTGGATTTTATCGATATTCATCTTGTATACGTTTCTTTACGGCATTAAGAATTCCTACGCCCTACATAATAACGGATTGTATGGCGGCCTCATAGTGAGATAATTTAAATACTTTAAAAAAATTCGTAATTGGAATTTTAAGAATTAAACGTTCTTTTTTCAGAATTTATCGATGTTTAAACTCTGTCTTTTTACTTTTTCCTTCGCACTTTTATTCAGTTTGTAAGTAAAAAGGCAGAGTTTACACATCGATAAATTCTGAAAAAGAACGTTTATCCTAAAATAATATTAGACAATATAAGTTCAATAACCCGATAATATTCACTGGATTTGAGGTTGGGGTCTCATTACGCGTGCAGCGGCATTGTGACGTCACAATCAATACCTCAAACACCGTTGTAAACATTGCTAGCGATAGAAGCAGAGAGCTACGTATTTGAGCAGGAAACATATTATATAAACCTATTGCAGGATTATTTTTAAGCACACAGCAAAACACGGAAACGAAAACACGGAGGTGACAAACTTTCCTCTGAACATTTTTTTAACGGCGGAAGTTCGTTAATGAAAATGGTGTTGTCTGATGATTCAGCCTTCAATATTCAACACCAAATGTGTCCATAATTGTTTTTATATGGTAGATAGCGAAAGGAAATTACCAGTAAATATCACGTTATTAAATATCAATATAGTAAGCTCAAAGAGAATAAACAGTAAGCTTAAATCAAACTGTATAAAACGACATAACATTAAACTGACTAAAAATGGAATTTAACTTTTTTGAACCACAACAAAACATGGTGGTCTTCATTTTACAATATAAATATCCATGCTTGCTGAGAAAGGAAATTTCATAAAAACGCTATTGCGACATACATGATATATAAACAACTTACATTTTACAGGTCAGAGATAGAATAAATGTAGCAGTGCAATCAATGCAGCGGGATCACTCCAGGATGTATTGAAAAACAACTCTTCGTACTTCCTTAAGCAAATTAATAAAATTGCTAAATGCAAGTTTCCGCACTCTAGATGTGGGAAAATGAAGTTATTAACTTAAATTTGCATAAATCTACTTGTTATATCTTCCATATATTCTAAAGTTTACAAATGCATCTCTATAACATAAATGTGTAAGTCAATGTTAACTTACCTAAGCTAAATGCATGTTAATGCAGTTCAGTTAATAGAATGTAGTGATAGTGAATAGACGTGTTTGTATGTATTCATATAAAACATTTCTTGAACACGAATGGATTTAGATTTGATAAAAATCTCTAAGATTACCATAACCTGTAAATTGTATAGTATGTGTGTATATTTTTTTCTGATATATAAGGTCGGATATTTGTTTGAGATTCCTTATTACGTACCGGTATTATACTTCCCATGTTATTTTAAATAAAAACGAAGTCCCATATTCATATGAAGCAAAATTTGTGCAAAATCTTATGCATGAAAAGAAGAAAACACTTGCTGTGACCTTCAATTCAATATTTCTTAGACATATTGTAAATTTAGCAATGGTAATTTTCATTCCTATGTCGATATGATATATTCTGGTGAGCTTGAGATAAAAGATACCACAGAGTCTGATACATATCTTTCATACTTGGACATTTTACTTGAAAAAGACGTTAATGGTAATCTAAAAACCAAGCTCTATGATAAACGTGATGACTTTAACTTTTCTATCGTCAATTTCCCTTACTTATGCAGCAATACTATATACCTTCATCACCTGCATACGGAGTTTATGTATCTCAGTTGATTCGATACGCAAGAGCATGCTCTATGTATGAACAATTTCTAAAACGAGGTATATTATTGACAGCAAGTTGATAAAACAAGAATATCAACAGTCTCGTTTAAACTCATCATTTCGTAAGTTCTATGGTCGATACCATGACCTTGTCCACAAATACAATTTATCATAAAGTAAAATGCTAACTGATGTGTTTCAAACTAATTTTTAGTCCATTTTTATACACTGAATTGACGACAGATTTTTCCGTTATTTACCGAATGACAAGGAGCACACGGCGGGTGTGAACGGTCAGCAGGGGCTGCTCACTCCTCCACGGCATCTGTCTTTAAGTCTTTTTAACTTTTTTATAGTAATTGCCAGGTAATTATCTAAAGACTGAATTGTTGACGGATTTTCCAGTTTCTTTGAGCCGGACAAGAAGTATACGACAGGCATGACTGGTCGACAGTCGATGCCTTCTTTTCCATCTGATGATCCCACCTCTGATGTTATAGCGGTCCGTGTTTGCTATGCAACCAATTTTGATTATTTAAATGGAAGTTTGAGCTTGATAACCATCCTCATATTTATTTTACAAAGGAAAGGAAAGAAGAAATTTCAATTTAATTTTTTAATTGTATGAATTTCAATTCAAAGAAGCCCTTGTGACTTTATTTATTGTAACTACATAGGTGCAAGACTTTTAAAGATCAAAAACAAAAGGGAAGGATGGTTTTTGAGAATATAAATTGTAAAACATTGATTCTTTTTACTCTGATTCAATTACGACACATTACATCAAACAATTATTTTAACACGGTAAAATTTTACAAAAAGCATGCGAATTGCCTAGTTTTACCGTTGAACATCTACATTTTCCTATATTTTTTCAGTATTTTTAATAATTATTTTAATTACCTATAGCAAATACTTAAGAATCGTACAGCAGCAACTGCTAAAAAAAGATTTCATTTTGAAAATTTACTGCGCATGCCCGACATGTAGACAACCACAAATTTCTGAGAGGAAAGTTTTTACCTAAAAACTTGAAATCATCGAAAATCAGAAGCCCAAAAAATGCAGCAACTTTAATTAGGATAATGAGTTAAGTATTGTGTGACAACCTATAGAAGAAATATAACGCTAAACATCGGGAAAACCTTCTGTGTATTTTCGGTAAGTCAATGGTATTTACCTGGTGAGTGATACTCATTCTGTTTATGAACATACATTTAACAATGTCGGATATCTCCAAGAAACGGGCACTAGATAAAATGGATAGTACTGACGAGAGTATGGAGCAAGGTGATCAAAGTAATCAGAAACCGGAAGATTTTCAGTTAAGGGATATCATGCAGGGCATTGCAAGTATTCAGACTACTTTGGCGAATTTTATGTTACGGCTCGATGGACAAGGTCGACACTTAGATGAAATTACGAAAGAAATCAGAGCAAAAAATGGCATTCAAGAAAGACTTGAAACTGTTCAAGAGCAGGCTAATGACACAATATACCTTGTGACAGAACTACAGGATAACCAGAAAAAAATGGAACGTGAAATGAACAGACTCAAAGACTATGTAGTTCGTCTTGAATACCGTGTAAATTCACAAAGTAACCAAATAGTTGATCTCAAGGCAAGGTCAATGGAGAATAACATCATTGTTAGTGGTCTGCAGGAAAAAGGCCCCGAGAGGAAGTCACCAGAGAACCTTGCGCAAATTCTAAGAAATGTATTCATATCAGAGATGAACATGGGGGAGACAGCAGTTGATGAATTACAAATACAGAAACTCTTCCGAATGGGAGAATACGATGCTAAACGAAAATTTCCAAGACCAGTTTGTGTGCAATTTGCCGATAAAGCCCAAAAAGACCTTGTTATGAAACACATAAAAGTCCTAAAAGAAAAAAAATCGGACATAAGAATTGCCCAACAACAACCAGAGGAGATACGGGAACGACGAAAACAGCTGTATGAAGTTCAAAGAAAATATGCAGAACGAAATATCGAGACGAAAATGAGGGGGGACAGGCTTATCTTTACCCAGAGTAATTCAATCTACAGAGAGAAAGTGGGATCTCAACTGCAGATGAGGTGTTTTCCAGCGACGCAGTCAAGATTAACGTTAATCCTGGAAAGTCAATTGAGGACAACGGAAACCGGTTTATGGCGCATTCCACCCAAGTCGATTCCTATAAACAGATTAAACGATCATTAGTGGAAATCATGCGTATCGAAACCGTACCCAGCGCGAGCCATAACGTTTATGCTTATCGCTTCACAAGCAGTGATGGGATAATCCATGAAGGATCAAATGATGACGGGGAACATGGTGCGGGAAGGTTACTTTTAAAAATGCTAGCCGAAAACGAAGTTAACAACGTACTGGTGGTTGTCTCTCGATGGCATGGAAACAATATTGGACCTCGTCGATTTTCCCATATCAAAGAAGCAGGTCTTAGTGCCGTAAAAAATTTACCAACTTCAGTTTGAAAACATGAAAAATAAACACAGTATCATCTCTGACTCTAGAACTGTTCTGGTCTTGATCTGAAATTATTTTTTAAATGTGATCTAAAGTTAAAATGTGTAATACATTTTTATTGAATTTTCAAGTATCCCGGATTTCTTTCTTCCAGCCAATAATATTCCGGCAGTTTTTGAAACATACTATTTCCTGTTCTTGCTAGTCTCGTTTACCCCAGACTCTCGCTCTCGAGACTTGGGCCGAGCGAGAGTCTGGTCTGATTTCTATTTAATTTTTGTAATTTCAAATCGAGGCTTACCGAGAAATCGGTATTGATTTTCATTGGCTGACACATTCTTTTCGAATCTAAGATCTGTATTCTTTAAAAAGTCAGAGGCTGCGCCTTTAATTTTACCTGGTTTTATAATAAAATACCTCTGTCTGCTTTACAAGGAACAAAAAACGCACATATCTTTGTTTAAAAAGTAAATTCTCATATGTATTTTCATTGGAATCGCCATCTTGTTAGCCGGTTTAGCGACCTCTACTGGTTACAAAAATTAAATAGGAATCAGACCAGACTCTCGCTCGGCCCAAGTCTCGAGAGCGAGAGTCTGTGGTAAACGAGACTATGTTCTTGCTTACCTTATGGCATTTCCCGAAATGAGTTGTGTATTCTTTTTATCAGCTCAACTGTAGGCGATATGTAAGTTTAATTTTTCTACTCAACATGTCACATAATTTATAGGGATCTGTATACATTGTCTTTTTGGGTTACTTATAGATACATAACCTAATTAATTAAAAAGACGGACAAGTTGTGATTACATTACACATGTAGTAGTTTCCCTCATAAGAGAATAAAATATATATTAATAAATTTTAATTCACAACCTGTTAGGTAGATTCATATATTTTCTACAAATAGAATAGACCATGTATATTGTATTTCCTACACTTGTAAACCCATTCTCATTCTTTTAAGAGATGTTTAATGTTAACTCTTAAGAAATATCAATTATAATGTGTTTTTGGTATAAACTTTCTACTCTCAAAATCAACAAGGCATGCATTCTCAGGCAACCCACACATTTTTGTATATACACCTTTTTTAATTTTTGTTTTTTCTTCTGTTTCTGTCTATCAGGGGGTCAGCAATGTTTTCATCTTTTTTTAAGAATATTATGGATTATAATAATGATAATAGCCTAAAAATACTCTCAGTAAATTGTCAAGGCCTTGGTAACATTCATAAAAGAAGAGATGTGCTAAAGAACTTAAAAGCTAAGAATTACAATATTTACTTTTTACAAGATACCCATTTTGTAGAAAAAGATGAAAATATGATAAGAGCACAGTGGGGATATAAAGCATTTTTTAGTTCATTCAAGTCCAATTCAAGGGGAGTCGCTATCCTCTTTAACAACAACTTTGAATTAAAAATCGTCAATGAATATAAGGATACTGATGGTAATTTTCTAATTCTGGATGTCTTTATTGAGGATATCTCTTTTTTACTAATAAATATTTATGGTCCAAACTCTGACACACCTAATTTTTACATAAGTTTAGTCCATGAAATAGAGGAGATTCATCCCTCTCATAAAATTGTTATAGGTGGTGATTTTAATTTAGTTTTTGATAAAGATTTGGATTCAATGAATTACAAAAATTTAAATAATCCGAAATCAAGACTTGAAGTAATGAAGCTTATGGATGTTTTAAACCTTAAGGAC